GTCACATTTAAAATTGTGGCAAGAAAAATTGCTTCGCGGAGTCAATTATTTGACCGTTCCGCAATCAAAAATGTGATTTTTCTAAAGTTAAAAATATAGAAAGAAAAAAAATCTGTTGAAAGAAATGACTTTTTGCTAAATTTAAGTATAGTGGCTAAAATTATCTATCATGTTCAGCAAATGAAATAAAAAGTGGGAGTCTGTGATATTAATTTTTAGACATTACTAAAGTAGTTCTAATTTTAAGCTTAAACTGGACTATTTGATATACTTGTAGCCTACATGTATTATAAAATTCACAACAGTTAATTTATTATATAAATTTTCAGGACCAGCATAGAACATTTCATTGTACAAAGTTATTTTGTGTGCAGCCTGCATGTAAAATTAGGAATCCAAACTTAACAATGCTGAATACTTCACGATGGGATCTTAATTGAATATACATGTAGTTTAATTAACATTATAGAATCCAATTTTATAGAAAGAAGTTGTTGACAAAAGTTTTATTGTGACGTCTCTTAACTTAGGAAAATCTGGACTGAGACGTCACACGACGTTGTTCAAGTGAAAAAAAAATTGATAGATTACACTTTCAGTACTGGTTCTCAGCTGGCAAAGAGGGTAACAACTTGTCTTTGTAAGGCTTACTTTTTAATTTGTATTTTAAAGGACATGGAATTTCACTCTACAAGTGGAAACCCAACATATACCATAGCCCCCTCTTTCTAAGGAGGAAATTCTTCAAAATGATATGTCATTTTCGAACAATTTTAATATTTCGACAACCTAATGAATTTAAATTATCATATCTATTTTGTTTCCACATTTTCATACAAAGATACACAGCAGGTTCCAGTAAATGTTCTATAAAGACTCTTTTTTTTTACTCACCACCGATATATTAACAGCAGTGCAGTAGAAACTTCAAGAGTACTGTCGCAAAAATATAGTCGAGAAGTGGTGTAAATCAGATTTGGATACTATAAAACTCTAAGGAACTTTTCGAAAATTTAAATGAAAAAATAACCAAAATAAATACATAAAAATCTACGACTTCAACACTCTATACAACTATTCCTCAGATAAGATATGATCTATAGATCTAGGTTTCTTGACATCATAGACAGCTGCTCTTTCAGTAAAATTGGAACTCGTAAATTAAATTAACTTGACATTGGTCATTTGCTAAATTATATTTTGTTAAAAACATTACCCACAAGTACTTTGAAGATGCTATTGAAAACATGCTTGAGTTTCTGAATGACAATATCTATGTGGTTTTGGAGACCAGTCTATAGGTACCAATCCCGCCCCGTAATTAGCAGACCTATTTTTGTATTCATAGGATTAGGAGGCACAATTCATTCAAAATCTTATATACCAGTTTGAGAAGAAGAGAACTCTAGCTTTAGCCTGAACACCTTGACATTTACATATACCGACGACGCATTATCAATTAACAATAATTATTTCCATTCAAATGTCGACACGATATATCCCAGTGAGCTTGCAATTAGGGATACCACAGTCTGACACGTCTGTTTCATATTTGGATATTTTACTAGAAAAAGACTTCAATGGTAATCTAACAACCAAGCTTTATGATAAACACTATGACTTTAATTTCAATCGTCAACATCCCTTACCTTTGCAGTAATTAGCTGCAGAACTGTAGCTCTCCGAAAAAAAATATATTGACAGACCGGAGAGCTACAGTGCCACCCACTGAAAAAAATGTATATTTATAGCACACAAAAAAAAGTACGCTCTGTTCTGGATTAATTCTTCCAAATTCTTACCTTAATTGCGAAAAAGCTATATTTCAAAAAAAGTCTTTACTCCTCTATCAATTACTTTCGTAGTTTACATCTGTATGACAGTGGTATGAAGCACGTTGGACCGAATTATCTTGCAAACCAAAATGGCAGTATAAATAGGCGAATTTTTCCATGATCTCAAATTCTGGGCTAGGAGAGCTATTATAACAATTATAAGGAATGTTTTGTTGTGGAAACAGTGAAAGAATATGTTAGGAACACACGGTTAGTAATATTTTGAGAAGGCTGTTTTAAAAACACGGAGAAATAAATCGAGAACAGGGTACTATTTTGTGCGCAATAAATATACAGTTTTTTCAATGAGTGGCACTGTCTGTCAATATATATATATTTTTCGGAGAGCTACAGTTCTGCAGCTATGCATTAGTATACCCGTAACACCTACATTTGGGGTTTTATATCTCAGTTGATTTAATACGGGAGAGCATTGATTATCTACGTGTGAATATTTTCTAAAACGAGGTAAATTATTGACAAAGAAGTTGATGAAACACGAATATCAACACTCTCACACAAGTCACCATTTCGTAAATTCTATGGTCGAAACAATGACCTTGTCTTCAAAATAATACGATCCAATTGCTGACTGCTTTTCATGCCAATTTTTAGACCATCTTTTACACACCGAATTGTCAACGGATTTTTCCAACGGGTAACCCTTTTCCAACATAGCAAATTTAAGTGCATATTTCTTGGTGAACTTTTCCGTGGTTATCGCGAGGATGCGAGCCAAAGAACTATAACGTAGTCATAAAAATAATTTGTTTGAGATGCATTGTGGGTAGTGTACAGAGGTTTGCTTCGAAAAAAATATTGTATTTGATTGAGCATGTAACAGTAGCCCACAGCTCGCTATTAATTTAAAATGTTGCTGTTTTTTCTGCAGCTGGTACTGTTGACAGTGAGTACGAAGAAATAGTATTTATAAATAAGGTATTTAATTTCTTTAAAGCTAGAAAAAAAAACAGGACCGTTCTCAAAATAATATTGGACTGGTCATTTTGTTAGCAAATGGCTATTGTCCCTCTACCTTTTAAAAACAGTATGTATACTAAATGCATCTCGTTTAAAATAATTCAGCTCAAGGCATATTTCTTTTTGTCAGAGATTCAACAAAACAATAGTAAATTTCAACATTCATAAAATAAATTTATTGTATTATACATTCAGGTGTTTATCTTCAAAGTTGAAAACATACATTCATAGTTCTATAATTTGATATCAGTACCTACACTGACGTATAAGTATATCTAACAAGATAGTCTTGCGATATATTTCGTAACTTTAGGGAGGGATTAAGCAAGTCAATTCTAACTAATTACATTTTATAACTCTAATGCTTCATCACTGAAATATATGGAGATATCGAACAGTATCCAAGCTCCAAAGTCCAAAAAAAACAAACAAACAATATAGGAGCAGAGCAAACACGGACCTTCAAAACATCAGTGGTCGGATCAGGTGCCATCCCTTACTACAAACCTTAATTTTATTCAAAAAAGTTTTCAACATTTGCTGTGAGCACTGTTTATACTAATTATCTTAGAATAATTACGATTTATTTCAAAATCAACACATGTACCTGATCAGTTACTCTTCTGAGGAATCCATTACAAAAAGAAGAAGGCCTATTACATTTATGTGAAAACATATATTTTACTATACATAGTAAGACTTGAAGCGTTGTGTGTGACGTTTTGGGCAAATTAAGGTGTTTCCACCCTCACAATTTTATAGGTTCAAAGTACAAACACTGCATTTATTTTCATTAAATATACTTTAAATTTCCCAATTATTGCAAAAAATGTATAGGTCACCATATCATTTAAGATGCGAAATATAATTAAACAGAAGTGTATTTAAACATAAAAAATCGCAGTTTTTTAGTAAACAGCATTATGAAAATATGTAAAAACTGGTAAAAATGTACAATTCTGATGCTGAATGTTCCTAAATACTTCCTACTTAAAAGATCCTTTTGAATTGTGAATATCAGGGAAACTATTTTACAATAAAGCAAATTCCTGATTGAAGATACCTTAGACGGAGTTCTTGCCCTTGTCAACATTTTTAAAGATTGAATATTTTATTAAATATAGAAAATATGCATTTTTTAAGATCTTTAACTTAACAATATTTATCATTACACCTATTGTAAAGAATTCTTCCAAGAGATATTGTTCTATTAGGTATGAATATAAACTAATTACAGTTTTTGCAAAAACCTATGACATCATAGGAGGGTGGAATTACCTTAACATGGCACTGAAGGAGTTGTTAATCCAGTTATGATACTGACAAGCGTTCCCACTGGAAAAGTATTTGATGCAAAAGCAACAATTCGGATATGTATAAATTAACTTTTTAAGGTAGGATTCTTCTCTGGTTTCTGACTAGATGGAATATTCAAAGTAAATTTGTTGATATGTCTTACATATTTAGATGTAAGAGATTTAAAAGACCATATTTTTCTTTCCTCATCAGAATTATACAACTTTAAATAGAAATGGTGAACTGTGTTTGAAAACTAGCAGGGACTATATTTTTGGCGGAATGGTGGCGTATGAAAATATCTTCTTTTCTGCCTCTCAAATTTATTATAGTACATTGAATTTAGTTATAATTTTTACGCAATCAAAGACTAGACGAAATATTCAAATGTAAGTTAAATTAATAATAAGAGACGAAAGTTTCAAAAAATATCAAATAAATAAGATTTTTCCCACATACTAGAACTATGTTGGCTTTTAAATGCTTCAAATCTAATTACAGATTTGAGCCAAAAATCCGTAAAAAGTGTTATTTCTCTCTTATTTAACGATTAAAACGTTTAGTTTTTTTGCATTATTTTGTTCCTTTATGTGACAACTTAACTATATGTGAAAATTGGAAAAAGTAAAATATAGGAAGCTTATAAAAATAACTAATAACTCCTAAGAATTTAAGAAAAGAAAAGTAAATTCAGATTAGCAAATATCCATTTTATTTAAATTATCCATTCATTTTGTTAATATCATCTTATAGGCCCCATATGGTGGTATCTTTTTTATGCAAAAAGAACCCATTCAATCTTTTGAATTACAAGTAGGTATAGCATGAATGGAAACTGTATTTTTTTTATTTTTAATGTCCAGGAAAAAGGTAATGACCTTGACCTGACCTTGCCTCTAATATTAAACGGTCAAATTTAATCTCACTGATACTTTCACTTAGTGATATTGTCCTTTTGATTCTGTGAAAATTTCATCAATTTTTAAATACAAGAAATATGAGAAGAATCCTACCTTAAATACCATTTTCCCACCCCTCACAAAGGATTGGATACACAAGGATAGTCAAAAAGCCAAATAAATTGTCAACGTCAGTTACATGTACTATGGTGTTTTGCAGATGTTTTCATACCAAATAATATGTTGTCTCATACTGACAGACATACAGACTATGTTAAGTGATCTCTTGCTACACATGTCACCGAAACAGTATTTGATAATCAATCAGGCGCCCGCTGTCCCATCCTAATAGTCTACAATTTCTTGGATTTCTATCATAAAAGAAACTTATCATAGAAGTTCCTGCATAAGGATTAATAAAATTTAAAGATAATGATATAGACTCCATTTTGAATAAATCGTAAGCAGATTGGATAGTCGTTCTCTGAACTGTAGAACTCGACACCAGGTACAGAATTCCACAGGATATAAATCCATTCCCATACTCCTGAACTTTCACAGGAACTTTTATGCGTCTGTACTCTCTTAAGGTCCCAGGGTAAAAATGAAGAACATATATATTATCCACGTCATTTTTCTCAGTGTATATAAGCCACAGGCCATTGTCATCTGCTTCCAAGTCAAAATAGGAATTACTATCTTTGTACAGAGTCGTATCCCCTTCGTAATTTGAATTGATCACGTCAAACGCCATTACTACAGCACGTAAACGGAGATCATAACAAACTATTTTTAGGGTACCTTTCCAATGGTAACAAAATGTACCATTGTACACTACATGGTCCGTTCCTTGGTACATAAACTGAGTTAAGTTATACATGAATGTTTCCTTGCTTTCCTCTGTAGATGAATACTCTGTGAGATACTGTCCACTCACTCCCTCTGTGACCCAGATTTTCTGTGACGTCATTAAAGGATCTCTCATCCAACATCCCTTCAACGACCCAGACTTCGTTTTGAAGAACGGAATTCCAATTTTCTTTATGACACAATCTGAAACAAGAGTATTCGGATCAACATTCAAAGATTATATGCATTAGCACACAAATTATTTATAATTACAGTGGCATACTAGGATATGAGTTGATACTGACAACTTTTCCTCGGCTTCGGTGTCGTTGGGACAAGAGTTGTTGAGGTGGTGGCCACGGTTGTTGTTGTTGTGCTGCTAGTTGTTGTTGTTGGAATTGTTGTCGTTGTTGTCGAACTGCTGGTTGTTGTGGGTGATGCTGGTTATGAAAATAGTTTACACAGTTTACTAAATAACATAATTTTGGACTACATGTACTTCAATTGTAAATGCAAAGAATATTTTATTGAGCAAATTACTAATTAAAACATACGTGAGCATGCCACAACATCAGTAGTCGTTTCTTCCTCTGAAAGAGAATTCTCTGTGGGGGATGCTGTTGTAAAATATGAAAGGTTGCATTACAATGTGTAATTATACTATCCTATAACAAATACATTTTAAATAGTTTATATATCCACACACCTTTGATGTAACTTATTTTCCACTCATTATGTTGCATTCATTATATTGCATAAATGTTCAGTTTACTAACCTTTACAGCAGCATATATACATGTATGTATATTTTTTTCAATTTGTGTCATTATAATGTATTAAATAAGCTGAACAATGAGTTGTTTTAATAAGTTACACTGTAGCCATCATACCATTATATTACTTTTCAAACTGTACAACGAGCTAATTAGGTATACATGTATATTGTACTTATGTGATTTATGTGTATTTATATGTAATCATAAATGTTCTATGTCATGCCACATGAGGCCCTAATTTGGATATAAATTCTATTCTATTCCTCTCTACATCCCACCTCTGAATGATTTAGAGGTTTGTTTTATTCCCACAGATTGCCTTACCACTGTATTTTGGATAACGGTTCTTTCCTATTTATATTACACTTTGACCAGTCTAACGGAAGTGACCTTGACAAATTTTGCATTACCAGATATATACTAATTAAGACCAAGAGAAACCCATTGTTGATTCAGTAAATTCACAGCTTTCATTCTTAGATTGTTTATTAACAGAAGATGTTTGGCTTTGAATGTAATACTGCTTACCGATGTAAGTGCAGGAACAGAGACACGTGTCATTTGATGTTGGAGACCAGGCTTTTCCAGGTGACCCCTTCTCTCCCCGTTCGCCTTTTTCACCGGTATCTCCACGCTCACCCTTAGGACCGGAAACACCCCTTTCACCCCTAGGACCTATATCCCCTTGGTCTCCTTTGGATCCAGTCCCTCCCATTTCTCCTTTCTTACCAGGGAAACCCCTACTTCCTCTTGAACCCACGTCTCCTTTTCGACCAGGGATGCCTCTTTTTCCTTTTGGACCGGTAGCACCCGGGTCACCTTTTTGTCCTACGTCGCCTTGCTTACCTGATCAAAGAAAACATCATCAACATATCAACGGTGGATTGGGGACTGATTGACAGAACTTATAGAAGTTTTTATTATTGAATTTATTTACGTTTTTTGAGAGTATTACAGAAATAACCGATTATAAAGTATTATTTTTCAATGTCTTGGAAATTTGTTTTTTTTTTAACTTTTTTTATATGATATAATTTTTTCTTTCCTTACATGTTTCATAATTTGAAAAAAAAGTGTTCAAATTGTTCATTATTATTTTTGAAAACATGAATTTAATGCATTTAAGATAATTAAGTATCTTGTTGAACTTTTGTTCTTGTTGAACTTTTATCGGTCTTGTTAGTGGCTCTATAGGTAGTGTAAAGCCGTACGCTAATTAAGTTCTCACCAGGATATCCGGGGTAACCTGAAATCGATTAAGAGAATCATTGATATCAGGGTTACTTTTGCAATCTTATATTTTTATCAAAAAGAAAAGAAAGGAAAATATTATCAGCAGGTTTGTTATTCATTCGATGATCAAAAGCTGATGAATTATGTGGTTGTACATAGATAATACCATCGAAAATACTACTGTAATATCTAAGACATTTATAATTTCATTCAGAGTATCTCACAGAGACTACAACGTAAGGATTTAAATTAAATGTTAAGTGAAGGAAGCTTGGCTCAACCTCTTGGTCCCTCAGGTCCAGGGCTCCCTGAAAACAAATAAATAAATAAATTTACTTATGTTTTATTAATTTCAATCAGTCATTTACTAATTTTCATCAATGTAAGAATATTCTTACTTTATAACCTTTGTTGACAAATATAAAAGATGCAAAAGAAATCTACTATTGGAGATCTCCAATATATACATAATGATCTCACTAAACACTAAATCAACCACTAATTCCTTCAGTGATAAACTTTTTTTTCTTTTGTACAGGGGCATCATTCTTAACAAGGCCACACGAAGTTAATGGTTTGGGAAAATAAAAAAAAACTAGCTTCATATACACTTTGTTGTTACCGGAAACTTCAGAAAATTTAGCAAAATTCTTAGGTAAGTGGAGATGTTAAGAAATTTATTTCTTAAAAAAAAATGCATTACAGTGGAACGAAGCAAGGGTTATTTAGAACTTTTCTTTTTCTTTTGAGCCTTTAATATACATCCACAATACCCTAAACCTTTATTTGCCGAGTGTCCAACTTTGTTATATATGCACAACTGTACAATATTTACATTAACGTTCAGTGCCCGAAGTTTTTGGAATAAAAGGCAATTATCTAGCTTATAAGTACTGTATTTTAAATTGCAAGAACAAATAAGAACTTACCATTTTCCCCCTTTTCTCCTATAAAATTAAGAAAAAAAGTATTTTTTCTTCACTAGAAAACTTTGGAAGAAGGATAGAATTATAAGATTATTTTAATACTCAGTATTCCGAATTCTCTACAATTAAGTAAGAAATGTATTGATATGTTTATTTATAAATATATTTATTTACCTTTCATACCGGGTAACCCTGAAAGAATAAAGGGCGACTTTTACATATCTTCTTGCATATGTTTTTACATTTAGAAATTTATTCAACTTCAGCATCTTTTATAAGAAAATATAACGAAAGAATCTTGTAAAATTGATGATTTTTGAAAGGTTACGAATTCAAAATATTTGATTTTTAATAAATTTGTTGTCACATGCAAACTACTAGTACACGATAAAATAAATATTTCTTTTATAAATAAGAAACAATGATTACCTGGTATACCCATAAGGCCTGGGACGCCTGCAAGTGTAAACTAAGCAAGTAAACAACTTGAACAGCTTTGGACATATTCAAATATCTTTACTATCCGAAAAAATTAAACATTTACAATAAATGATAAGTCTTGACAGAATAGAATAAATTTTAAAAAAATGTATGGGCATACAAAACTATAATTTGATGGATAGCCAGGTGTGTGTATCTTTATACAAACTGTCGAAGGTTATGTGCTCTCAAATGCGGGCAATAATGAATAACTCAGTTCGCATGTACCTGAAGCACATTTGCAGCTCTGTTCTGCAGCTATTAACATGATAAAGCAAGTGTTTGTGAATACAAAAACTTTGCACATTTAGATCCCATAAATTCCTTTATATACATAAATACACTTAATATATAGAGGATATCTATATTGTGTGATTTGATATTGGCTTTATCCAACGAGTTGAAATGGTGTATATATTCGCGAGGCTTGCCGAGCGAATATACACCATTTCAATGAGTTGGATAAAGCCAATATCAAATCACACAATTATAGATGTTCTATTTATCTCATACAACTTTCGTTTTAACAAAACTTTGAGACTTCCCCTGCAAAACTACATGAATGATTGCCAATTCAAATCGATGACGTATAACTTGATGACGTAGCACCGTTGACGTTGACATGCTTCGAAAGAAAGTAGACCGTGTTCAAAAGTTAAAATTTTTGCTATCTGCGTCTTTGAAAACATTATGAGACAATTGCTGGATCTTTACATTAAACCAACGTCTGACTGAAAGTTGTAAGGACCATGGGATCGTGAAAATTAACTCTTCAATGTACGGTGGCAGTACAAAAAGTGCTGGTCAAGGCTTTGTAGACTCATTGCTGATCCATGGTAAGCTACACTTACATTACATGTACTAGGTAGGCATACGTTGTATAATATAAGAAAGCATTATTGAAGATATTACAGGAATCTTATAACAACAATCTAACTGCTAGTCTTTACCTTTTCCGAAAACGATTTAAGGGGGGGGGTGTAACATCTGTCTTCAAGTAGCCAATACAGGTTCTTGATAAAATAAGACACTTCTTTGACATATACGAGTCTTTTTCTTGCTTTTAACAACATTACTGCCCTTTATCATTCATTCTATAAGGGCAATAATTTTCACAAATAAAAGTTTCAATTAAATAAAATCTTGAAGCGAGGGATCGTGTCAAAACCGGAAGTGCTATTGATAAAGCATCTACCCGTTGATAAAGTATAAGTTTATCCAACGGCCTGTATCACCCACACGTATGAGATAAAACTTTTTATCTCATACGTGTGGATGATACAGCCCGTTGGATAAACCTATGCTTTATCCACGGGTAGATGCTTTATCAATAACACTTCCGGTTTTGACACGATCCCTCGCTTCGAGATTTTATTTTATTGAAAGAAGAAGGTACACTTTCAATACAAATTAAGCCCTGTATTTTTCCAAAAATATGAAAGTGATTTAAGAAATTAAAATTCATTCTTTCTGAATCATAGGAATTCCATGCAATAAGAATACTCAAATTGTTTTTCTCATTTGACCTCCTGTATGCTAATTGTGACGTCATTAACTGGTACATTTTCCCGTATTTTCTTAAAAAGTTGCAGAAGACATTAATTTTCAGTGAAATTTTCTTCCAGAAAACATACTCTGCCACCGTCGCCCAGAAAGATTTTGATATATGTGATTTTTCAAAGCAGTTTACATAATATATCCAAAAATTGAAGTGGGCGACGGTGGCAGACACTATTTTCTAAAGGAAAATAAGCACAGAAATGAGTCATTCTGAGGCTTTTCTGCACCAAACTTAGAAATCTACCGAATTTGTGACGTCATATTTTCAGAATGGTCCTCCATCATGCCGTATTCTTTAATGATTTATCATATTCATCTACTAACTATTATTAAAGCCAATTTCACAACTTTTTAAAAACATTAAATTTTAGGGCACAATAAAGCCCAAACCGTACCTTCTTCTTTTATTTGTGGAAATTATTGACCTTATAAAATGAATGATAAGATCAATAATGTCGCTAAAAGCAAGAAAAAAACACGTAGATGTAAAAGAAGTGTCTTCTTTTATCAAGGTACCTGAATCATGCTGTATTGGCTACTTCAAGACGGAGGTTACATCCCCTCCCTTTAAACCGTTTTCGGAGAAAGTAAAGCCTAACAATTAAGTTGTTGTTATATAAATATTCCTTTAACATCTTCAATAAATGCTTTCTTATATTATACTACGTATGCCTACCTAGTAACATGAGTAATGTAGGTTTAACTTGCCATGGACCAACAATAGCCTTGCCTAGCACTTTTTGTACTGCCACCGTACATTGAAGAGTTAATTTTCATGATCCCATGGTCCTTACAACTTTCAGTCAGAAGTTCGCTTGATGTAAAGCTCCAGCAATTGTCACATGTTTTCAAAGACACAGATAGCAAAAATTCTAAATTTTGAACACGATCTACTTTCTTTCGAGGCATGTCAACATCAACGGTGCTACGTCATCAAGTTATACGTCATCAATTTGAATTAGCATGTATTTCCGCAGGGGAAGTCTCAAAGTTTTGTTAAACGAAAGTCGTATGAGATAAATAGAACATGTATAATTGTGTGATTTGATATTGGCTTTATCCAACTCGTTGAAATGGTGTATATTCGCTCGGCAAGCCTCGCGAACATATACTGTACACCATTTCAACTCGTTGGATAAAGCCAATATCAAATCACACAATATAGATATCCTCTATATATCTGGACAGTTATTGGTAAGTCTACAAAACTGGTGGTTAGTGATACAGAATGTTACTTCTGTATTTGTACTACTGACATCCAAAGCAAAAAGACATTTAGACACAAGTTATAAGTTAGCATCCGGTAACTATACTATTAAACGAAAAATATGCGCTTTAAAAATGCTTTGAAAATACACTCTTACGGTAAAACTCATTTTGTGTTATACACCTACATGTATATTCAATTTTTAACGATACCCAAAACACACTTTTGCCATCTTTTCTTTTAGGCCTACAATAATTTATTTACTATACCATTTTTTGTACTATTTATTCACTTATTGTTTATTTCGTCATATATAGAAAAAGACTGCAAAATCTTACCTCTATCTCCTTTTAGACCTGAAATATATCTTATATTACTTCACCAAAAAGGAATGAGTATGTGATACATTTTATTATTATTTTGAAATTATTTTGATCTTATGTAAGGTATGTTTAAATAAATACATTTTTCATTGGCAAAATACACACACTGACTTGTAGTTAGGCTAAATAGCAAGCAAATATAATTCGACTGTTTTTGTTTAACCTTAAAAACGAATAAATAAAGCTCACCTGGTAAACCTGATAGCCCTGGTTCACCTGCAAATTAGAAATAGCAATATTTGTGACGAAATACAATAACTTGGAAAACAACTCTTACAATCCTTGTCATGGCATAAATTTGTTGATGCAAGGCTTTATAACTGAGAAATTCAGTTATAGTTAAAAATGACAATAGTGAATAAAATAGGAAGAAAATAGCCAAAGCAAAACATTTATGAAATAAAAAAAGAAGAAATGGTTTTAGAATATCAAGTGATGGAATGAAATTTGTAATAAATTATCATAACAGCATTGATGGTGAAAAAAAAATACCTAGAAAATATCCATCGCACGAGGCTTGTGATGCAGAGCACCATTTGACGAAAAACGATAACAAAAACGCTAACCATAACGATATTTGTGCTGGGATATTATAGCTAGAAAATGCACCATAAAAAGACGTCAAGGAATAGAAATAGAAAACTTATGATTGAATAAAAAAAAGTTTAGTTTGAATACTTCTTCGTGGTTACTTTTAATTAAACTACATATGGTAATACATGTATATAAAATTGGTAAAATATGTTGTTAATGAAGTAAGCTTCTATGGTTTAAAGATTTTTTTTGAGGTAGATCACTGTCCATTAAAACATGTATTTATAGCAGAATATATAACAGATTATAAAAAGTGGAGGTGGTTTACCTTTTTCTCCTAGTATACCTGAAAAGAATCACGTTCCATACATGAAAGAAATTATACTAGTTTTTTAAAAAAAACTTTCTCGAACAAAATGAATATTTGGTAAGTTCATTATACACCTTAATAAATCTTTCTAACTCATTTCAATATATAACTTATGTAGATCTTTTTAGTGGAAATATCGAGATATGAAGGAAATATTTACTGAAGAATACAGTGTTCTTACCGTTGTCTCCTCTTTTACCTACAAACACGACAAAGGCACATCTGAGTAACTTCTTACTGTATTGGTTTAGAATTTCAGATACTTTTAAACCTCAAACATTTTTTTTTCGGTTGTGTTACAACTTTATACATGGTGGAGATACATATATATCGAATGATATGCTTGCTTTTAAGACAGGTTGAATAATTCATGTTATAAAATTCGGAATAAGATATATACTTACCAGGCAATCCTGGTATACCTAAAAAGTTAACTTTTAATTATAATCACGTGAAGGAATGGACTTTTAAATAACAACTATTCAAACAAACACACATAAGAATAAAACAATTTCTGTGGCTTTCAATTCGAATTCTAATCTAGATATATTGAAGACGCGTTATCCATAAAAATTATTTCATATCCATTCAGGACTGTCGAGTATGTCGACTGTTTATATCCAAGGTAAAGATACATCTGTTTAGTGTTCAGATATTTTAGTAGATAAAGACCTTAATGGTAATATAACAACGAAACTTAATGATAAACTTGACAACTTTCAATTTTTCTATCGTAAACTTCCCATACTTGTGTAGCAATACATTTATACCCTTATCAATTGCATATGAGCCCAACTGATTCAATACACATGGGTTTGCTCAACGTACAATGTACGTACAATTTCTCAAACGAGGCAAGCTATTGACATGCAAACAATTTGAATAATCAAAGATCTCTACTGTCTCGCTTAAAGTCATCATTTTGCACATTCTTTGGTCGATACAATGATCCTGTCAGCAAATACAATTTATCATTGAGTCCATTATCAATAAGCGGGAAGCTGACTTAGTTTTATATGCCAGTTGGTAAATATATAGATCATGTTTAAAATTACACACTGAATTGTCTACAGATTTTTATGGTTTCACAATCATGGCGTTTGCCCGATAATGGTAGATACATTTTTACCCATGACAATGTTTTTAATTTGTTTTTACATGTTTTAGGTGATCTTTTCAGAGAGAGAGAGAGAGAGAGAGAGAGAGAGAGAGAGAGAGAGAGAGAGAGAGAGAGAGAGAGAGAGAGAGAGTAAAAATTGAATATAGTTAAAAATATACATGTATAGTCTTAAATTTTTAATTTCTTTAAAGTCATAATATTAATTAAGAAATCAAAATTATCAAATATCCTTTTAGATACACGCAGAAGATATAAACCTTACTTGAATCATTCCAAATATCCGCTACATGACATCGTAGGGAATATATGTTAGTATTTTTGAATGCACCAATGCATCCCAAACACTGCACACAATAAAATTATACTCACCCTCTTCCCCCTTTTCTCCCTTACACCCTTTTACTCCTTTACCATCGATCCCTGGCTCTCCTGACAAAGAAGTAATAAGCTTTTATGGTGATATTACGTATTTTTCAGAGATGTATAATATTTGATGGATAATATTATTCAAGTGTTTAAATTATATTATTCTTTATTTATGTCGATCTCGATATTTTAAAGTTAACTTTCTCCATGTATTTTTATTACTTCATGCTTGAATATATACTAGCAGTAATTGGTGTTTATCAAATTATTTGGGAAAATTACCCTTTTCCCCTTTAGATCCAGGAGGTCCAGGAATAACTGAAATGAAGAAAAAGATACTAAGATACTAAAATTAGATGTTTAAAAGGACCCTTTATTACACTCTATGAGTGCTATTAAACCGACAAAGCGAGAGAAGTATCTGTATTTAATGAACTTTCTTACCCGGAGTTCTAAGATCACAGTCCGAGATTACTTTCCTGCAAAATCTGTAGTCAATGGTCTAAAAAAAAATGAAAAACATTTTAGAATTCAACAAATTTTACCAGTTTTATAATTATCATAGCCTTCTATGATGACAGGAAAACCGATATTAATAGTTTTTCAAAATTGCTAAACTCATTAAACACGTTAAATTTGCTTAATTCATCAGACCATATTCCAAACAAGATAAAGTCATACTCTTACATTATTTCTTTTTACTCACCACATTATCGACTATGAACATACTATTACGCCGCAGACGGTTAGATTTCCCGCGTAATTTATCTTCGTACCTTGAGTAAATATTTATCGTCTGGTCATCGTGAAAACAACTATTTCTGCTTGTAACAAACAGAATACCAGTAAGGCACGTATTTCCAGCAATAAGTAAGTATATAATTTTGATGTGCAAAGCCAGATCACCTTGAGCCTCCATTTTGTTTATGGAAGAGATCTGTGAGCGCTTGCTTATCAGACATTGCCCTTGATAGATGCTTTCTCCAGTTATTATAACACTTGGAATATTTTTCCAGTAAAAAATCTTATCAAGAGAAGTTTTTTGATACAACACGTTTAAGCAAGGTATTGTTGATTCAGGTTTTCTAGTTCCAATATCTTAGATGCCTTTGTTTATCTCGTGCAATTCGATGTTGGATCACGGAACAATGGATGTTTAATTGATTATTAAAAAGAACATATATAAGTGAGCAGCTACAGGGCGTTCAGAAGGCCTATAGTGCGACAATTATGATAAAAATTATATTGTTTTTTAAACATATTTTATTAAATGAATCAAAAGGATTAGAAACATGGTTCGTACCTCGTCCCTCTCCCTATATAAAACAATATGTCATGCAATTAAAATATTAAAATATAATATTTTCAAGTGATATAAGTGAATAACAATTGAAATCAATTTAAAATCTGCATTTTTCATCAATAAATTTATGGACAGCATCAAAAATATTTTTATTAGTTAATACACGCAAATCTTTATCACCCCATAATAACTTGTTCGTGTTTGAAAAGATTGTTTCTATCATTTGCATAATTTCTACAAGCAAAAGAAATAATAATGATCAACATTGATCTCTCTTCATACTTTCCACATGAACAAAGAGGACTGCTGATAATTTCGAGTTTATATATTATCATGATTAAATATTTAAAAACAGTTGTGTCTTAGTTTTGTATAAATTAAGCATGTGTAGCGTTTGCCAAAAGAGAAATACGTTTTAAACCTAAATTAAATCTTACTTATAAAAAATTTGTTTTATCAACTAACATTAAAGCCTACTTTAGGTAAAATTTTCACAACTTGCAAAAATCTCACCAAAATTAAAATTATTTGCATATGAAATAGTATATACACAAAAAGGCAAAAAGATCATTTTCTCATGGTATAACACGATTTTTCGATAACTCGAGTAGGTCGTCTTTCCATTCAAAATTTATCTTCAAAGTTCTCACAAAAATGCACATTTTTTAATTAATAAATCAAGGAGCAAAGACCAAATATATCTTTAAATACACTTTTAATACACAACATTCACATTTCATCCGAAAATATTTGTTTAATCAAAGGTTATATCACGACCCAAATTTGAATGTATTCAACAGGAGTTATCATTATAGTTCAAACCCCACGAATACCACTCTATTTTTTAAATAACTGATTTATTTTTTTCTCTCGAAGTTTTGTTTATCATAATTTTATAAAATTTACCATAAAAATTTTACTGTAAATGCTTAATTAACAAAATGAATATGATTCTTATAAATATGAAATTATAGTCTTTCTGCACACTTTGTTCACCCATATCCATTCTTACAGAATGATTAACCCTGTGATAAAATTTTAAAAATAGTCGATATCTAACATCATAGCGAATTTGTATAAAGATCCCTCAAAGAAAATTAAAATTGTGGAGGACAGAACAAGATACCACTGCTACCAATAGACTGTGAGAAATATGTGAAAAAAAATATTTTATCGTACAATGATATAAAGGTATAGCAATAAATTATCATATCATTATATTATTCCAATATTTTATAATGTCCATTTCAAATTGGATCGGTATTATATCATATAAAAATGATAAAGCAAACTAATATTATATCAGGTTAAGAATAGTCAAATATGATTTATTAAAAAATATGCAGACATCAATACATGTGACATTCTAAACAGGGTTAACTGATACAGGGTTTTTTTCACGAACACGAAAACAACGAAATCAAGTGAAAATAAGTAATTCTCAACACACGCCAAGGAGCTTATTCTTTTATTATGACCAATTCATCACTCCTTCATGGCACCTGATCCCACTTCTGATGTTTCGAGGGTCCGTGTTTGCTCTGCTCCTAATTTGTATTGTTTTATGGACTTTAAATTGAATACTGTTCATTATCTCTATATCCTTCATTTATCTAATTTTTTGCTCTTTATAAAGCGACCCTTTTTATATTAAAAAAAAAATAGCACCTACATCTTAATTCTGGTAATGCAAATCAGTAATTGTAAACTACGCAGTCTCAATATGCATTAAAAGGCAATGGATTCAAACTATTGCTATAGTATCATACATGTACCGTATAAGTAGAAATTTTAGCGAGAAGCTTATTTAGCGATTTCTTCTTAAAAATTGGGAATTTATTTTTAGCGACAGTTAAACCTAGCGCTTTTAAAATGCTTACTTAAGCAGCTATTACAAATAAAATGCAATTGATTTTAAGCGGTATTCAATTTAAGCGATCTCATGACCCTCGCTAATAATGCCAAAATTAAATCCTCGCTAAAAATTCTACTTATACGATATTTTAAATATACAAATGTTACTCAAGTTAACAAACGCAACAAGAAAAATGATTGTACTCACCGAGGAGTAGAAGTCGTAGGATGAGGACAGCCCGGAGAAGGTGACGTCTTGGTACATTTCCGGTGGCTCCAGGTTGTTCCTTTTGGATCTCTGGGTCTCATCCTCGCTGTTATTTCCGCCATGGCTGAAGGGAAAGTTCGACCATCTGGCCTCATTCAACCGTTTTAGTTCGGTATAAGCCTCCAACGAAATCCAAAGTGCTGCAATGCTGGTGGCGGACAAAACAAACAATAGAATGTATATAATTCTTAGATGAAAGAGCGCCCTATGTGTCTCCATCTCACGAACCATGGCAAAAGATGTTCCATTCATACAGACGGTGCAATTATAAAGAATAAACGAAGAACAAAATATATTGCAATAGGTTAGTCGTAATCATTCAACAGGATTTCTCTAATAGGTTTAGATAAACTATTGTCTGTCTAGATGCAATTGCATGATATTTCCAAAAAGTGCTCGTTAAAAGGGCAAAGTATATCTTGTGGATCAAGCGATTTTAATCATTCCGACTCCCCCTCTAACGCCGTAAAATCTTTGATTTTCTGTATAATGAGCACCCCCTGTTTTTGTATACGATTGAGGTAGATCTACCGATAAAGCCTAATAATCCAATGTACTTAAACACCATTCCACAACTAGCAATGAAGAGAACCCGAGTGAAGGTTGCTCAGTCTTGTCGTCATATGTGTATAACCACGAATAAATGTAAAATTTATGAAAAATTACCGCATTATTATGATTTATAACAGCCAAGAATTCAGGGGGGGGGGGGGGGTCAAAAGGTGTGAAAATCTTTGATATGTTTCATTCCACTTATATCTTTAAATACGAAATGTTTTCAAATCCATGCCAGCAGACTATAAAATGTACATATGTCGGAAATTGTTCCTTATTGAAAGTTATTAAAAAAAACATTTATTGAATTTTAATGAAAAACAAAATTTTTAATTCTAACTGTTTGATGCATAATTATTTTGTACAATGTATTAGAATACATGTATTACCTCAAAATGAAAAATCTTTAGTATACTATGAAATATGGAGATAACGAACAGTATTCGAGCAAAAACGTCAATTAAACAATACAAAACTGGAGAAGAGCAAATACGGACCTCTAAAACATCAGAGGTGGGATCAGGTACCAAGGAGGAGTGAACATCCCCTGCCGACCGGTCACATCCGCTGTGTGCTCCTTATCATGATCTGGAAATAACGGGAAAATCCATGGACAACTCAGTGTGTAAATAATGGGCTAGCAATCAATATGAAAAAAAGTCATTTAGCATTTGACTTAATGATAAAGAACAAAAGCCACGAAGTACCAAAGTACGCCCTGTTACCAAAATGTATAAAACTTTCCATAATAATGTGTAAAGATTAGCAGATTATAAAACAATTCATTTTATGACAATATCTATTTTAGTTTTCTTTTTACAGTCGTTTAAAGTTGGTATTGTTTTTTAAATGAATGCTACATCATGACGTTAGAGCTATATGCTTTTTAACGTCGTAATGACGTTATTTCACAGGCACTTGTTTCGTATACGGGGTACCCCTACTTATTTTTACCACAGAGGTAAAAATAATTAGGAGTGCCCCGTATACGAAACAAGTGCCTGTGCTCCTTTTGCCTTTTTAGCATTTTGATATATATATACATATTATTATACAAGAAAGTGATTATGTATTGTATATTAATGGAATAAAATTCATTCTATCATGAGGGTTTTTTATATAGAAGTTCTGAAACATGAAATAAATAACATTTTCTAACTTCGTGTACTTTTGAGAATTAATTGCCAAATGTTAGATTTCTTAAAATTTTGATATTCTGACACTTTACAGATTTGTACACGATAAAGAATAGACTCTTTACTTAGATAGTAAAGGAATTTTGTCGTAAAATTACAACTGTATAAATTTAAATGTCTATCTCAATAGCTTTTCTATCTCCAAAAGTAAACATATACTCGCGTACATGTATTTCTCATGACATTTTTTTTTAAATAGGCATGTTCCAAATATGTGTGTATAAATTATATATAAAAAAAATTGTATGACTTGGCATTTATTTTATAAAAATAACAATATCATTACGAAGTATTTATGATATCACATAACAGTCATATTAACAATACCATTACTTAGTATTTACAATGCACATTATGACGTAACAGTCATTTACATGTAGAGTTTCCCATCAAAGCATCCAACTTAAAACACGTGCAGTAGACAATACATGACAAGGAGTAAGCTATCATTGTGATGGAAATAAATTGTATACACAGTAATCATGGGCGTCGAAAGCAAATTGAAAGTGGGGGGGGGGGCTTAACCAACAAAAAAAAAAGGTAAATCACAATTTTCAATGCCAAAAAAATCTCTATTTTATGTAAATAATGGCTTTACTATGAGAATGAAAGATGTCAGTCATCATTTGGCTCAATGATTAATTGTATTAGCTGGCAAGGTCATTGTATCGACCATAGTACTTATGAATTGACGACTTTAAACAAACTGCTGATGTTCTTGCTTCGTCAACTTGTTTGACAATAAATTACCTCGTTTTTGAAATTGTTCATTTGTAGAGCATGCTCTTCCGTATCGAATTAACTGAGAAATATAAACACTGTATGCATCCAGGTGACAAAGGTATATTGCTGCATAAGTAAGGAAAGTTGACGATAGAAAAATGAAAGTCTTCACATGTGTCATAAAATTAAGCTTTGTTGTGAGATAACCATTAACGTCTTTTTTAGTAAAACAGACTCTGTAGTTTCTTTTATTTCAAGCTCCCCGGGATTTATAGTGCGGGGTCTTTGCTACATGTGTATAGTATATTGATAAAAGGAACTGGAAATGGCTGGATCTGTTTGAAATGGAGAGTAAGAATGAAATTTCCCCTGAAAGCATTGTATTGGATTATGACATAGCTTATATAGTGAATTATTTGTAATTTGGGATTGAAAACGGAAAACAAAATGTAAACTATAACATTAATTTACACACACTTAAAACAAAGAAGATGCTTTGAGTATCTACAAATAACGTCAATTTCTAATAACAGAGAATTAGAATAACTGCAATATTCCAAAGAAGTATATTTTTTAAAAGAAAATTTTATAAATCTTTCTTAATTGAGGCATAATTTCATTTCAAATTCTACATGATCCATAAGTTATGTTTGAAAATAAACAGTGCATAAAATGTGTTCATTTGTTAACATCAGACTATAAGGGGCTTTCGTAGGTACTAGTAAGTCTTAGCTAGCTAGACTGCAAGAACAAACGAATGACATCTTTCTTACGAAATAGTGTGATCTAAGGTGCCAAAGATATCAAGAATTGAGGAATTTCACAGGTGCATTGTTCAACGCAATTTACAGATCCTCTGCTTTTAACAGCTGCCTGAGTGCCTTCTTCTTACGCAATCACAAAATGCTCCCTGTACTCTTCTTTGTTTTTATTTATTTTTCTCTTTCCATACTTTGTAAACATCATAATTTTGTTTTAAAGACGTCCATGTTAGTTCTGCACAAATTTAATTAAAGCAGGTGATAAAGGCACACCGTTTTCTGATTCTATTTAAAACGACGCCTGTAAGCGTGGAATATATTATTTTTGGTTTCTTTACAATTCCTTTAAAAATTGTTATCCAATTGTTTTATGTAGGAAATGCGTATTATTTAAAGATTTGTATTGTACATGAATAAGAGAGTAAAACTCATTTTAAAAATACATGCTTCTTTATTTATTTTAGTTATTTATGACAAGTATTTCGATTTTCGACAGATGAAACTGTTAAACAAAAACCTATCATAGTTGTGCAACAGGGTTATCAATTTATTTTACTCAAATTTTTACACGTCAACTATATGAAGTAAGTTCAATATTTAACGAGGCCGAGTCTAATTCGAGTGCGCATCACTTTGCGCAGCTTTTTAATTTCATGCAGTTATTTGTGTGAGAGTATACTTTTGAAAATTATTTTATTTTAAATACAAAATTAACATTATTTGTAACTCCTACTGATCTGAAAATGTGATTTTACGACAATTATTGGAAAAAGAACGTTGAAATGGCTCTAACATTTCGGATTTTGTAAGCAATGCATGACGCTGAAGATTGATGCATGACTCGCTTGTATGTTCAAGACGTCCATGGATATTTTACTAAAAACTGATGACATATCTTCCCAAGAAACATACTAGCAATCTAAAAATTGCTATTTATGCCGAAAAAAATTGTATGCATCGATAATTCATCAGCAAAGATATGTATTTATACCGTAAAATGGCAATTTTAGAGGTATTTGGCTTCGAAAAAATAAACTCCGTAATTACTACCTAGACCAATCGAGATGGTGAACTTTTTTTAAATTTCACAATTTGGTGACTTTTTACATTTACTTTCATTTACTTGAATGAAAAAAAAAATCCCTAGGGCAGAAGTACAAAAAATATGGGGAAAATGTAATAATTTGGCGATTTTCCAACAAATTCCCATACGGTCCAATAGTAAAGTTTGACAACATTTAAGATAGCCCACTAAGAAATCGGGTTGGTTAACATTCGATTTTTTAATCCTAAAACAATAAATATAACCGTAAAAATTAGTTATCAAAAATTTATCAAAATCCTTAGGGCAGAAATAATTAGACTCGGCCTCGTTAAATAAGAAATAAAAATTAATTTCGCAAGTAGTTTTTATAATGTAGTCATTACCATAATTTATTTTAATTAACTTCGCAAACGAGGATTGTCAAACCCTCTTGATATTTGCTGGATTCGATCAGACAAAACTAAGCGAATCTTTTATTCTTCAAGTATTATTTGTGTTAAATTCTTTAATACACCATGCAGTAAATAATTTTAAAAAATATTGTATCAACAGTTTCGTTTGAGGACATCATTTCGCAAGCTTTGTGGTCGATACTATGACCACCAAGCCTTAAAACGCCTCTCACTGAGTCAGATGCTGACGAGTTTTTTTTTTATTATTACTTGCTAGTCTATTATTCACACTGCATTGTCCACGGTTTTCCCATTCCGTTTCTCCCGATCAACACAAGGAGCACATGGTAAGTGTGACCAGTTGACAGAGGATGCTCACTCCTTTATGGCACCTGATCCCACCTCTGATGTTTTGGAGGTCCGTCTTTGATCTACTCCTGATTTGTATTTTTAGGAGTGGAACCCTAATAACATTAAATACATCCATAACATGTTACAGATCAAATAATTACTTTTTATTGGCAAAAAAAAGGTGTCATCACCTAGATATAAATGTAAAAAAGGATAAAACCATAATGAAACTGTTCATTTCGTTTAAATACGAAAAATAGATGTCACAACGTCCTTCACTAGTCTTAACTTTCAATACGAAATTTAAATGAAAAAAAATGTAAAGAGGGAAACCTGAACTGGGATGTCAAATAGAGACATGCTTTATGGTCAAGAAATAACAAAAGAGAGACAAATAAAAATGTTCAAATTGACCTAGCTATTTAAATAAAGCATAAAAATTGAATGCCCCTGCCTTATTAACGTTCAACATTTTATGTTTACTGTCTGGTTATTTTACGAGACTATAAAAGAATATGTGCGGATAGTCCCTCATTGCAACTGGTTAAAAGTACATTATTAAAATTAGTCAACAATAAAGTACAGTTTTATATAATCTTTAATCTGTTAAGAAGAACAGAAACACAAACTGACATTAAGATTTAAAGCATTCAATCTCAGGAAACTGATGAAGGATGCTATACACTTAGTGTAATAGACGGTCGGAAGCGGCCGCTCCAATAATACTCAGTGAGTAAGAGCAAAGAGGGAGGAAAATATCAAGAACAATAATGGATCATAACAGGTTTAATGTGCTTATTATGATTTACCTTGCAACTCTTGGAACTAGGTATTTAGTTAGGTGTGAAGTTTTCACGGAATCTGAGCAATCAGCCGTAGATGAGATGATAAAGGAATTAATGAACTGCAAGCGAATTCCAGGTAGGTCATACGATTCTTGGCAAAAAGATGTTAGACATTCTGGCTGGAAAAAAAAAAAACAATTCTGTATTTACTTTGACATCTTATATGAATAAACGACATTTGGAACAAGAGTATTTATTCAATGATAATATAAATAAAACAAGGTCACAAAAATAAAACAATTTATTTTTATCAGCACATTCTCTAATTTATTAAGTTTAGATGATCAAAACATGAAAAGGATCGATGTAAAATTAAAAAAAAAAGTAATTAAAAAGTAATACGAATTCAGGATCAAGGCATGGAACAAATGTACAATTAGAATGCATACTTTCAGGTTCGCAAGAAATATTTTTTTTTTACTTTTTGAATAAAAAAACTAATCAAGACAAGAACTACAGCTGTATATACATAGACATCTAGCAAAACTCATTAAGTGTAGGTTTGAGCTCAATGTGTTATCAAATGTGATTTGCTGAAAATCTTTACAAAATTTGATAAATCTTCATTAGTTTAGCGATTGTATGAATCAAAGTCTTTAGTCACTTGTTTGATAATGTACAAGTTCAATGATCTTCCCAAAATGTAAAAGGTAAGGACTCTAAGACGGCTTGGAATGGTTTCTTGTGAAAGTGGTAAATGAATACCATAAGAACACACATTTAGTAATAACATAAAGACAGTAAAAGAGAGTTCTCTTTGTGTGTAATATATCTGATATATTCAGCGATTTACAATGTGTATTGCTCTCTGCTCGTCCATCTCATTTTTGGAATAGCAAGCTGAAATCCTTCAACTAAGTTAAATCTAGAATTAAAGCTCTCTTTATGAAAAAGACACAAAATGACTCTCTGTTTAAATTACGTACCGGTTTACAGGTCTGGGGTTGAGTATAACCAAAGGGGAGAAGTCCCTGGCCAAAGGTTATGGGGTGGCGGACGCGGAGGAAGGCACCCCTATGACCGAAGACACAGTCTCGTGTATCGGTTCTACGACTAAGGCGTTCACAAGTGCTCTGCTAGCTGCCCTCATAACACGTGACAAGAGTCGGGGAGGAAGGTGAGTAGACTTTATGTATGCCAATTTCTAAATAAATAGTCCAACTGAAACAAAAGATATTGAAAAGGTTCTCGTTTTTCTGGGACAACCCTCGATGTATAAAATTGCTTCAAAATAGATTAACTGATACAATTTTAATTTATATCCATTTTTAAAAAAAGTACATGTTCTGGTGACTGATTAATACGTTATTTTATTTCATTATAAAATGTACTAGGACATTGTTTGTAAAGTATTAAGTTTTTTTGATGAAAAATACTTTCATAATTTCAGTTTATCCTGGATGACAACTTTACGGGAAATATTTGGTGATGACTTTGGTTTGACTTCTGACCCCGTGATAAGTTCACAGGTCACACTAGCAGACATTTTGTCACATCGCTCCGGTGTTGCCTCAGCTGACGCTTTGCTGATGGCGCAGATTTATTCGGAGAGTAACAGAAATTTACTTCTCAGGTGAAGGCAATTCCTGAAATCTAAATATTTATGTTAGTAAAGCTTTTCTGGCTTGCAACCGGATAACATCAGATTAATTGACGGATGAAAGGATTCCATTATCGGTTTTGTTGAAAACTAAAAAGATTTTCGCAACCATTTCTTACTTTTATCCAGCATTATAACATTTACGAATACAATGTCTGCTAGTACTCAATAAAAGCTTCTCAATAATGATTTAATGCCTTACAATAACTTCAGTACTTCAAGTCTACGAGTCATTGTACTTGATCCTCTTGTTTTGTTAGAAAGTTCATATTTGTAGTATGCAGTAATTAAGTCATCTCATATTTAAAGCATTATGTACAATACCAAGTCATTCTAAAAATTCTTGTAGACAATTGCACCTTATCCCAAAGAAAGGAGTTTTTCGTGGTCAGTTTAGTTACAATAACTTAATGTACAGTCTGGCGGGGCTGGCAGCCGAAGCGATAGGGAAGAAGCCTTACTTTGAGTTACTGAAGGAGATGATACTGGATCCTCTAGGAATGGACTCAGCAGTGTTAGTGGACGATCTAGATTTTACCCTGAACACCACTAGTAAGCCACATCAGATCATCAACAGATCCGTCCAGATGAGCGATACAAAATTCTACAGGTAATCACGTGCTGGGGAAAGTTTACGTGTGCAATGTACTTGGCTCTCTGTCTCAGTTCAAAAGGGTCATTACAGATTAGACTTTTTGAGTGTGGAATTTAAGAACATCTAAGTTAATGTAACATTTTATTATCATTTTAAGGTTAGGTTCCTTTTCCCCGGCAGGAGGGATATGTATGTCACCGACAGATTTCAACAAATGGCTGTTTTTCCTAAATAGCAAAGGAAAAACAATGTCTAAGAAGACAATCGTGGACAGCATGGTTTTTCTCGACATGGTTTTACCAAAACAGGCACTGGACATTCTAACTCAGTATGCTTTTGGTCTGTATGAGACCTTCCCTGAGCCGTCCTACACCTCTTGGTATGGAATGGGTTGGTTTGGTCGCTTCTACAGAGGTAAAAATTGCTTCTTCACCATTTTCTTTTAAACACGGTACCGTATATGTGATACTTTTCTCCATAATTAGGGCATTCTTTTTTTCATTAATGAAACATATGGAGAAAATGAGCAGTATTCAAGTTCAAAAAAGCCAACTGAAAAACGCAAAATTAAAGCAAAGGAAATACGGATCTCCAAAAATCAGAGGTGGGATCAGATGCCACGGAGGAGTGAACATCTCCTGCCGATCGGTTAAACCCTGGCTCATTGTCATGATCTGGCAATAACGGAAAAGTCTGTCGACAAATCAGTGTGAAAATAATTGCCTAACAATATGAAAAACGTAAGTCAGCATTTGACTTAAGGATAAATTTCAATTGCTGACAAGGTCAGCGTTTTGACATAGAACTTACGAAAAGGTGACTTTAAAATGGCAATATTCTCGTTTCAGCAATTTGTCTGTTAATAATTTGCGTCTAAGAAATTGTTCATACGTAGAGGGAAGTTTACGATTGAATAGTAAGTCATCACGTTTATCATAAAGCATGGTTGTTAGACAAAAATATGCTTAGTTTCTGATTGACAATATCTATGTTGTTTTTGGACACCAGGTGTTTCAACAATCTATTGGAATTCCAATGGGTACCAATTGCACCCATTTATTAGCAGACCTCTTTTTGTATTCATATGAAACAGAATTTGTGCAAAATCTTAAGAGCGAAAAGAAAACAGTTGCTGTGGTCTTCAACACCCCTACTAATGTGTTCGGAACCTTTTATTTTTCGGTGTTCTACACATTATAAAACCCGATAAGTTCAGAGTAGCTCTGGCAGTGGCTCTGGCGAGAGTTCGCAAGACTACAGCGAGATAGGGTAAATTATTCACGGAAATGTGGCTAGGAAGTGACTAGCACGTGAAGACATGGTAAACAGAAAAGTTACGTTGCGTTTTAGTTTTAACCACCCTATAAAATCATTCTGTAAAAATGTACTTCAATTGATCTCTCTTAAATTCATTCAAATTTAAATTATAAGTATTATCTATGATAAAATTTTCTGCTATCATGAATTAAAATTTCTTTTTGAAAAATGTTTTTGCCTGGGAACCGGGACTATATTTTTTGGCGTCAGATTAGCAAATGAGGCACCAATGTGACTTTAACTGACCAATCAGCTGAATGAGAATTGCATCATGGGTTACTACGAATACTGCAGGAATTTTACGCTAGATAAATTCCTTTATTGTACTATCGGTGAATACAATTGTCTGGCTAAAACACGTGACCACGAGCATAGTTATGTAAAAAAATGTTTTGTCCATTTAAATGCATACGAGAAGCTGCTCGTTTTCCTTACCCTTAAAGTGCTGGTGTTCTGAACTTGACACTAACTATATATACATTTTATTAAACACATTTTTTAGTTAACAACAAATTAAAACGCCCGTGACATCTTTCATAGTTTCTAATCTTTGCATTTTGTTCATAAGAACTTTTTTTTATTTTGCACTCCACTGACATGATCATAGATTGATCTGAACCACGTGTTCGAAGTGATATGTAAACATGCATTTGGCGTAAACGTATTCAATCAACGAATGGTCAGTTCATGCACAGAGTCTGACACATCTGTTTCATACTTGGGTATTTTACTTGAAAAAGACTTAATTGTAATCTAACAACCGAGCTCTATATAATAAACGTGACGACTTTTACTTTTCAATCGTCAACTTCCCTTACTTATGCAGCGATATACCTTCGTCACCTACACACGGGATTTAAATGTTCAGTTTCGAAACACAAGAGCATGCTCTACATATGAACAATTTGTAAAACGACGTTAATTAATTACAAACAAGCTGATGAAACAAGAATATCAGCAGTCTTGTTTCAAGTCATCATTTCGTAAGTTCTATGGTCGATACAATGACCTTGTCAGCAAATACAATTTATCATTGAGTCAAATGCCGACTGACGTTTCTCATACTAATTGTTAGTCCATTATTCATACACTGAATTGACAGATTTTTCCGTTATTTCCCAATCATGACAAAGAACACACGGCGGGTGTAACCGGTCGGCAGAGAATGCTAACTCCTCCTGTTTTGTATTGTTTTATGGACTTTTGATCTTGAATACTGTTTGTCATCTCCGTATGTTTCATTAGCATTAATGTCTTTTTCAAGTAAAATATCCAAATATGAAACAGATATGTCAGACTATGTGATTATCTGAGGCTCCCCAGGATATGTCGAAATAAGAATGGAATTTACCATTGTCAAAACATTGTCGATATATCTGAATGTCGAGTTGAAGTCTACTTGTTTTCTTCTTTATTAAGTTAAAATTTTGATATCACCGTTGTAAACTAAATAATTGAAAAGAACCCGGATCGAACATGGCTCGCGGTGGTCCGAATTCATTTTTTAAGAATTCCACATCAAAATCAAAACTGAAAAATATATATATATATATATTTATCATTGTAGTGCTTGATGTTTTTGCTCTCATTAAAGTTTGATTTTGTATATCAAGTTTTTAAAGAATTCTTTCAAAATGAAGAGTGGCATGTAATTCTGCAACATTTAATATTCCTAACATCAATATCAGCTGAACTTGTTATACAATGAATTGTGAAATCTTTCATGAAAATTTTTCATTTAATCCATTGTTTCAGCTAACGTGGATTTCTTCCATGGTGGATCCATGTTCTCCTACTCCACAGTGGTGGTAACAGACCCAAACAAACAGATAGGGATAGCAGTGACACAGAATGGACTGTATCCCGTGTCCCTAGAGAGGGACCTCTATCCCCTCGCCTACTACCTGAAGGACATCCTTCAAGGTCACACTCCATGGCTAAACAAATCCACCATCTGCTCCTACCCTGAACCCTGGCGGCGCTCCTATCCAATCCAGCTACCAACACAGAATGTAAAGGAGAAATATGTAGGAGATTCAGAGGAATTTGCGGGCACCTTTGGTCATTCTTTATTTGGGGAGGTTAAGGTTACAGAAAAAAATGGGTCTTTGGATTTACAATGGGGGAATATAATCAAAGGAACGCTTTACGATTTTGTCAAGAAAAAAATTAATTTCAAACTGAGATTGCGAGATGAGACCTATCAGGTCATTGGGTATGAATTAGGCTCCATTGATGTTGTGTTCCATGAGAAATCCTCAGGTAAATACATGGAAGTGGAAATTAAATTCTCAAAAGTAATGGAGACTTATAATTTTAGCCGACAGATTTCTTTCTTTTCTCCTTCTACATCCTCATCAACAGTCAAACTGCATTTCCACAAAACTGAATTATGTCTATTGTGCACCCTTTTGCTCATCCTTGTGAATGTTTTTAACTCATTATGAAATACTTTACAACAGGGATAGTTTCAATGTATAAATTTAATATTTTCAAGTGTCTTATAAGAAGTTGGCCTTAACATTAAGACTTAAACAGGATATCATGTGTCCTTTACAACACTGGCCCATTTTTCTGATGAAGGATCTGTAGGAGCCACAAAGTGGGTGGGGATCCGACTTCCCCCTGGTGTGTTCTCCGGTACAATAAACCTGTCCCAGTCTTGTCTGTTAAAATAAAACGTTTTATGGAAATATATACAGAACATGTAGCCTCCGGGTCCAAAACATAAAGCATTATTTCTAACCTCTCAAAATAATTTGCGCTTGTGTTTTAGAAATATTATATCATTGATCTTGTTTTTTAAAACAATATTTTATTATGAATAAACTTAATAGAGTTGGACAGCAGGCACTGCCTATATAAGTCCTATCCTCATTATTCTTTTCCTTTACATGTGATACCCATATCTTACATGATACTCAAAGAAAAATATTACTTGACTTCTACATACTCTGCACAGCCATAGAAACATGTATTTGGGTTGTAATTTTGTTACTGAATGCTGAGAGTTTTTTTACCTGATTTGGATGAAAGACTCGTAGCTGTAATTAGCCTGATCATAAAACTGGTAAAACGGAAACATGGCTTCACTGTCAGAGATGTTCTCTGTAAAATATTTGTAATAAGATAGAAAATCATACAATAAAATACATGGGACAGAGGTGTTTGATTGATTTTTTTTTTATGTATTTTTGTAATTTAAAATAAACACATGAACTTTAATATTTTATTTGATATATTTTCTACATTTTTCATGTTCTTGTACCTATATATTAATATATACTTTACCTTTTTATAATATTTTTTGTAAGTACGACATTATTCTTATCTTTATATCTGTGTATTAAACTATTAACTTTGCAGTTTTTTTTAAAGCTGAATGATTCACTGTATATGAATATGCCTGTTTAAAAAATAAACAAACAAATGAAACAAAAAAATAATGTATTTTATTAATTTGCATATAATAAAGTGTCAAGGATGGCTGATGTAGCTTGGTTATAACCTTAATTAGTTATACATGTATCCATTTAGTTCACCACACATTTTATAGCCATTTAAATTCACTTCAAGGGTATTGTCAATTTATTATGTTTGTTCACTTTAATAGCATGATTGACTTTTAAAATATGAAGACTTTTTAAAAAATGATTTTAATTTATATATGTGTCTAAAAGAAATTATACGGTGTTCTTTTTCTGGTATTAGGTGTGCATTATACAATAATTAAAAATTTTTATTATCTTGAAGTTTTTGCTTTTTTATCTTGAAGTTTTTGCTTTTCATATGTACACAAAGCATTCATTAAATAAATGAAAAGAGCATTCAGTGAATGTTTATTACATATTGATTCAGTCTGAAACATCTTTAACTTTTAAAAATGTGCTTGAAGACAGAGCTCAAAGTGTTAATTGTTCTTTACACTTGCAAAGGAAGATATGGCTTTGGATCTTCTTTGAAATGTTAGATTATAAATCCAAACTGACTCTCTAAAGTTAGGAGTTAGGAACCATTGCCTTTATCATGATGATGGAGGTATCAAAATATGTGTAAGTCCTGCTGCAGCAAACTTGACTCCACTAGGACATATAATAATTTACCTGATTTCCCAAACATGATTTCCTGTATTTTTTTATGTTCCCTTTCTTCTCGGAGTTTCTTAATTTTCTCTCGCTGTTCTCGCGCTTTCTCCTTCGTCTCTTCATGTTCAGTTTCTAACATGACCTTAAAAAATCATTTTATCAGCATGACCTTTAAAAATCATCTTAATAGCAGCATAACCTTTAAAAAATCATTTTAGCAACAAGACCTTAAAAAATCATTTTAGCAACAAGACCTTGAAAATTCTTTTCAGCAGCAACAAGACCTTAAAAAATCCTTTTAGCAACATGATCTTAAAAAATCATTTTAGCAACAAGAGTGAAGACCTTAAAAAATCATTATAGCAACATGACCTTAAAAATTCTTTTCAGCAGCAACAAGACCTAAAAAAATCATTTTAGCAACATGACCTTAAAAAATCATTACAGCAGCATGACCTTGAAAAAATCATCTTAGCAGTAAAATGGATATTCCACAACAAGAACAGAGACAGTGAAGGTAAACTTTAATGTGAAGAGTATCATACCTGCAGCGCCCTCTCCTCTGCTAGGTAAATTTCCTTCTGTTTTTTCATGGTTATGAATTGTTCATCCATAACGTCTTTAAATTTTTCATCACTTGCAGGGTTTGCATGAACACCTATATAAGAAAAACAAGGGGAAAGCTTTTAATGTGACAACAAACTAGGTTTCCTTTTGTTTGAAAAGTACTGATATATTTCACATGAATTATAAAAAAATTATTTTCAAAACTGTAGGAAGTGACAAACCAAGAATATCAATGTACCCTGAGAACATATTTTACCTAAAAATAACATTTCAAAAATAGGTATTTTCATCATAAATAATCCAAAATCAAAATTCAAGTACGATATTTTCTCTGATTATGTACAGTTGATTTGCTATCAATTCATTCTAAATATTGTATGAGGAGTTGTCCGGGAAACAAATTTCACTTTATGCAATATAGTGCTGTCTAACCTTGGCATATCACTACGGATTGAAATCAGAACTTGTTTTGGTTTTATACTGCATTATGATCTCTGACCTTGCTGTTTGAGTCTATCACTGCGGAGTTTCCTCAGTTTTTGGATTCCCTTCAATAAGTCCATGGTTTTGGTCACATCACTTATCTTCTTCCTGACTTCATTTAGAATGGCATCTGCTGCCTTCTTCAGTTCTTTGGCCTTAAATCACACAAATATATAATTTACAAGTACCTGATGGTGATTTCAACAAAGTTTGAGGAAATCACTGTTGAGGTCTGGGGTCACAGAGTCTGTATAAGTCTTACCTGAGCAGTAAGTAATACAGATACTGTACATACTTAGTTAAACACCTAGTTAGGGCTGGGCAATAATATCGGTATTTCAATATATTGCAATACAATGACAAAAAATATCGTATCGCAATACGATTTTGTAATATCGATATATTGGCAATATGCTTATATTAAGGTTTCGTCAAAGGTCAACATGTTCAAAAATTTATTTTTACAATGGCCCAAAAACTATATGAGGTATAAAGTTAAACCTTGTACAGTTTATCAATTTTTCATTGATTAACAGACAGAAAGTATCACTTGATAAAAAAATACTTGGAAAAAATAGTTATTGAGAAAAATTCTTCTTAAAAATGCACATATTTTCAAAAAATACACCTAATTTATTCTGTGCCTATAGTGAAAACCATTATTGCAGAAACAAAATATGTTTATCGATGAAGGGCAAGTTGGACTTCGATAACCTCTGGAAAGTTGTTTTTCCTGTTTATTTTGTCCAAATGTTAAGACTTGAAAGTGAAAGTACATTGCAAATGGCGGGTTCTAAAGGGGTCTTGTCTTTATACATGTCATGCTTTCAAAAACAGCCTTTCAGAGACCATTCACGTCCAACTTGCCCTTCAATGATAAACATATTATTTCTGCAATGATGGTTTTCACAAAAAGGACAGAATAAAGTAGGTGCATTTTTTAAAATATGCACATTTTCTGATACAATTTTTCTCCAAAAAAATTTTTTTTAAAATATTTGTTATCAAGTGATACTTTCTGTCTATTAATCAATGATATATTTATAAACTGTAAATGTTTTGATTTTATACCAGACATAGCTTTGGAGCTATTGCAAAAATAATGTTTTAGACATGTTGACCTTTGACAAAACCTTAAGGAATTTTATCATTAAATATAAAAATGGACTTATGAAAGGTTTGTTATCAAGCCAAACAGTAAGACAGAAGCTGTTTTGTGGGAACGTTTCAGAGCATAACTTAAATGAAATCAACAAAATTTTTCCCCTGTTGGTTACTTATCATAGTTTTGTACATTCTGCATGTAAATTAACGTAAATATAGTAAGAAAATGTCATTTTGATTACATAGAAAATATTGCAATACATATCGCAATACATTTAAAAATATCGCAATACGAAATCTCTGGCCAATACCCAGCCCTACACCTAGTACATGTACATGTATATACCATATTCATGGAAACTACATTACTGTTTAAAGAAAGATAACCCCTGTCTCACCTCTCTTTCCTCGTTAGCTTTCTTCCTTAATTTCTCCTGCCATGCGTCAATCTCAGCGTGTAAATTATTTCTCCTTTCTTCTTCCCTCTTCTCTTCTTCCCATAATTCTTGCCTTCTTCGTTTGAGTCTCTCCTGAAAAAAATTGGTGTAATGTTTATTGTTATTATCAAACAAAAAGAAAGATAAAGACATTTACAAACTAGGGATTTCTATTTCTTTATTTTTAAAACTGGAAGTATTTTTGATATTTGAAGCTTTTGGTAAAAGTTATCCCACTAATTTGTACTTATATTGATTTCCTGAGACCAAAAACTTATGTACATGTATAAATCATTAAACATTGAGTTTTCAGTAAATGACAGAACAACTTGTACATGTATTACTTAGACAAACATATGTGTGATCGATTGATCCAGAGAAATATTCTCAAAGTAAGACAGATCGTTAGCAAATAGGAATTTTAAAAAAAATTTTCTCAATGCTGAATTTCATACAACTCTGAATATGAAGTAATTCAGGTGCATGAGTTGCATCAACAAAAATTTTCATTTTCATGTAATACTATATGGTACGTGTACCTCCATTACTAAATAGACAATGTGACAGAATTTCAATTATCACTAAACTTTTTATAAACTAATCCAAAAACTTTAATTAAGAATTACTTAATACTAGAAAGGATACAAAATATATTTGCTCTAAGATAAAGGATATGAAGGAATCAAAAGTGCAATTATTTCAAAACAAGTCTTCATTTGACCAGACTGAAAAAAAGAAGTCTCCATTGTATTCTAAAAATAACAATCCTTTAAAAGCAAATTCAATATCAAATGTTTTACTCTGCATTACATATTTTTAATTCCAATTTTCACTAATTATACCTCTATAAAATCTTACATTAAAAAAAATTCAAAGATATTCTAATACAATTTTAATGCATATATTAAAGTTTCATTTTAAATAAAGCTCTCAAAGAGTCCTCTTACCCTTTTCTTTTTCTGCTGTAGGACTTTTTGCTTGACTTGATTAATTGTGGTTTCATCACTCATCTCTTCTTGTATTTTCTCAAGCTCTGTCTGTTTAATGTTTGATCAATAAAATCTCTTAATATTCAAAGTATATCTTAAAGAATCTTCCATTCAATGAAATATAATTATGACAAAAACTGCATAGCTACACTGTTAGAAACATTTTTTGATTAAAAATAAAAAAAGAAAAGAGAAAGAGTGTTAGGATCTAATGCCATTTAATGGTTTGATAAAGGCATGTATACATTAATGTCAAATCTGACACTGAATTTTAATACTGCTTCTAACAGAACTTTTTTTTTATTTGTTAATAGAAATAATCTGTCTGAGGTCTTGACACCTTTAATACCTTTAGTTATTAAGACTAAATGTTGTACCTTTAGGATCAGAACTTTCTGTCTCTGGTTGTCCCACACATTGTCTGGGGCTGATCTCCCCTCATCTGATAAAGTAGAGGTCTCCTGTTGAAGTTGTGCCATTAATAACATCATTCTTCTCAGCTTGGCTTGAGTGGAGTTAATCTATCGAAAAAAAAATTAAATTGTTTGAGAGAGGGAATTAGATATGATTTAATGCCAAACTATTGGAAGTAAAATTACAACCTGTATATATATATATATATATATATATATATATATATATATATATATATATATATATATATATATATATTGGATAACATTAAAAAAAAAAAAAGATGAATTATCCCAAAGATTGTCTTTAAATACTCTATAAAGGGTTATTTTCGCCCCGTGTTATTTTTGCCCTTTCATATTTGGAAACAAGTTTGCCCTGTTTTAAATTCGCCCAGAAAGATTTTTGTTTAAGATATTATATTGTTTACTTTGAATTCGTACCGTATTAAATTCGCCCACTTCCGACGAGGGCGAAAGGAGCGAAAATTAAACGGGGGCGAAAATTTCCCTGTATACAGTATACATCTTCGAAAATATCCATTTTCTGAATTATTTGAAACATGATATTCAACTCAGTTTAGTTGGTTTATATATCTTTTAAAGATCTTAAAGGGTCAACAAGCGAGTACATTGTAAACATGGTAAGCACTAGGGCTGGGATGATGTATCAATATTTACACTCAAACACATATTAAGCAAAACAGGCATTGCCAATTATTGTATAAAAAATGCTTCCAATTCACTTACTGAAACACTTTTAAAGGATGAAACATGCACATTTGGGTCAATTTTTCCTTTTTCCCTTTTCTTCAGCCAGACTTCCAGTCTCTGTTTTGCTTCAGTGGAATCATCGATGACTTTCTCTGGTTCAAACTTTGGCACAGTATTGGGTGTAAAGCTTGGTGGCGGCACTGATTGAAGAGGAAGAGGGGGTGGTGCTGTAAACTGCATGGGATTGGGTGGTGGCATGTTCTGTTGTTGAAATGACATCGGCTGTGTTAGTTGCATAGGGGGTCTTTGGAATTGTTGAATATTCTCGTGATATGGATTGATGTGTTGAAAGTTAACATTGCTATTGCCCTGGTTAGGTAGATTCCCTGTCATATCTCCATATATCATTGGCATTTCGGATGTGTTTCCCTGAATCCTAGTATTATGTGGAGAGTCTAGTGGTCCAGGTCCAGGGATACTGTTGGACAATGCTGGTGGGTGATAAAATCCTTGTCTAATACTTGGTGGTGGTCTTTGGAAATTATTTTGCACTACACTGTTTCCCTGCCAGCGAGGTCCTTCAAACATATTTCGTGGTCTTTCGAATTGAAGCCTTGGCATGAAATTAGAGTTAAAATTATCATTTGTTTGTTGGTTCCTTTCCGTTGAAGCATGATAAGATGCATTCAAACGCATGTTTTGACCAAGATTTTGAGGATTGTCAGGACGAAAATTATTTCGAATGGGCGCAGCCATTTTCCTTGAAGAATACCGATCCCGATCTGAAAACATTCCCAGTAACCCTACATCTTGTCAACTTCTCAAACAGGAATAATTATTCTTATAATATTATTTAAAACTCTCAAAGCTAGCATGAAATTAAAATCTTTTCATGCAACAATCAGTCTTGTAAAAAGATGACCTTTCATTTCATGATAACACTTAATTAACAATTCAAATTTCTATTAAAATGATTTAGAGTGATATTTCAGTTCAAAACCCTTAACTTTCAAATTTCCAAACAGGTTTTAGAATTTTAAAGATTTTGATTTTTATCTTAAATTTTCCAAAAACGAATTTTGTATAAAATTTATAACGGTCCGTGTAACACTTAACAATTCAAAATTCTTAAATGAATTTGAGTTTTAGAATGTTAATAAAATAGTTAACAAACTTTGTCAACTTGATAATGACGAAATACCATTGTTTAATACACTTTACTTTAGGAATATTTTCTTTCGTCATGAATAATGAATGATATATTTAGACAAAAAACAGTAATCACCCCCAAAAGTACACCAAACAAATCAGGAGCAGAGCAGACACCGACCTCTAAAACATCAGAGGTGGGATCAGGTGCAATGATGGTGTGAGCATCCCCTGCCATCCAGACACTCTCGCCGTGTGCTGTTTATCTTGATCGGGCAAATGGACAAATCTGTGGATTATATATACAGAGTGTACTAGTATATAAACAATGTAGTTCAGTCAAAATAAAATAAAACGTCAAAGAAATTGCAACACAAATAAAATATATTGGAAATGGTAGACGGTACTAATGTTTTATATATAAAATGTTAAAATTTTACAATCTAAATCCATGCACAAATGCAAAAATATGGGGGTCGACATTTGGTATAATTCGCATTCCCTGTATGGGATTCCATAGTGCATCAATGTTGTCATCAGTGTGAACAAATGTCGTCAGATGTCATGAGTTGGGAAAATGCATACACTGTAATATTTATGAGATGAGACCATTTTATTTCTCATTTTTAATTGCATTTAATAATTATATCACATTTTATGTTTCTGTCTTCATTTAAGTGGAAAATATCCCTTTAATAAATAACTATACTTCAGCTATGTACATGATTCAATATGCACCTAAAAGTGGTGTAATTTATAAATACAATCGTGAGAGTATGAAAAGAGATAAATATGGCTAACAATTTGTATGAAAAACGCAGGCCAGTTTAAATTGTATTTGCTGAATTATTGTCATTTTACTATCAACCACAGAACTTGCGAAAAAATCGCGTTTATAATATTTTCTAAGAGTTCTGTGGCAATTGAATTATTTTATTTGAATTTAGCTTTTTTGGGAAAAATTGGTTAATTCATATAAAATCATTCTCATATATTTATACATTATTTTTCCTATACCTTTTTATACGTAATTTTTAATATAAGATAAAAAAAAGCTAACCGGGGGCTTACAAAAGATGACGCAGCTGCATAAATCATCCACATATAATAGCCATTATAATTTCTATCTACGAAACATAATTTTTTAACATGTATGGAGATAACGAACAGTATTCAAGATCAAAAGTTCATAAAACAATACAAAATAGGAGCAGAGCAAGAGCAAACACCGCGAACCTCGAAAACATTAGAGGTGGAATTAAGTGCCAGGGAGGAGTGAGCACCCCCTGCTGACCGATCACACCCGTCGTGTGCTCCTTGTCATGACCGTGATATAACGGAAAAATCCTTCGTCAATTCAGTTTATAAAAATGGACTAATAATTAGTATGAAAAACGTCAGTCACCATTTGACTCAATGATCAATTGTATATTGCTGACAAGGTCATTGTATCGACTATAGAACTTACGAAATGATGACTTCTAACGAAACTGCTGATATTCTTGTTTCTTCAACTTGTTTGTCAATAATTTATCTCGTTTTAGAAATTGTTCATACGTAGAGCATGCTCTTGCGTATCGAGTCAACTGAGATATATAAATGCAGGCGATGAAGGTATATTGCTGCATAAGGAAAGTTGACGACTGAAAAGTTAAAGTCATGCGCATGATCACGTTTATCATAAAGCTTGGTTGTTAGATTACCATTTACGTCTTTTCAAGTAAAATATCCAAACATGAAACAGATATATGTCAGAATCTGTGGCATCTTTTATCTCAAGCTCACCGGGATATATCGTATTGACATAAGAATGGAAAGTACCATTGTTTATCGACAATACGTCGTCGTAATATATATATGTCGAGTTGAAGGCTATAGCAAGTGTTTTCTTCTTACACATAAAAGATTTTTGGACAAATTCTGCTTCATATGAATATTGGTACCCATGGAAATTCCGATGGATTGTTGAAAGACCTGGTCTCCAAACCACATACCGGTAAAAGATATTGTCAATCAGAAACTCAAGCATCAATTTGATGTCAACTTCAGAGTACTTGTGTGTTTTGGTAAAAATTTTGTTATTTCAAATTGTCCAAAAGTTCCTTGGAATTTTTAAGTATTCATATCTGATTTACGCTACTTCTTGAATATATTGTTGCACAGTATTGAAGTTTCTCCTTCGCTACCGGTAATATCTTAGTGAGGAGTATGGAAAGAGGCTTGGTTGAACATTTACTGGAACCCCTATGTATCCTTTTAAGGATTCTTTTGAAGTTTCGGAATCCAATATAGATATGGTTGTTCACCTTCATTTTGGCTCTTTGGGATATTAAAAATATTCAAAACTGACATATGATTTTGGAGAATTCTTTCCTTAGAAAGGCAACTAAGAGTATAAGTTGGATTACCACTACCATTAGGGACCAGGCAACATTTTTCACAATGATGGGACCGGTACAAACGGGCATGGGACAATGAGTTTTTTTTTCATCGAAGAAACCATGGGAGAAAATATTTTTAGCATTAAGTACCCATGGGACACAAACTTTTTTCAATGACTTGCAGTTTTAACCCAAGAGAAATATTCATTTTATATATTTTTTAATCATATCTTTGAAACTGAATTAAGAGAAGGATAAAATGGCAATATAAATCTTTTAATGGAAAATATTACAACAGATGAAAAATTTTTTTAATGAACAAACAAAAACATTTTTTCGATGTTTGAAATATCTGTAGTCTGAGAGACTCTTTAGTTTTGTAAATCCAATTATCTCACTAACACCGAGATGTAACCATGGGACAATAACTTTTTTTATAAGTCTCAAGGCATGGAACAGAGATATTTTTTAAATACCAAAGCCATGAGACACGTACTTTTTAGAAATGAAAATTTTGTTTTGTACTGGTCCCATCATTGTGATAAATTTTGCCTGGTCCCTTAGATGAAATCCAAGTTCTTCTAAGATACAATTTATATAATGAACCTTACAAACAAAGACAATGTTGTTACCTGCTTTGACAGCAAGGACCAGTATATATAAAGTCGCTTCTAGTTTATTACAAAGTATATTCTCGCACATGGGACTAGACAAGGTCCTTTAAGCCTTATAAGATGGAAATTAGATATTTCTAAGTGTATGACTTTGATTATCATATACAGCCATACTCCAACAAACGAACCACTGCATCGAAAAGCCTAACATCATATTCAAATCAACATATATCATTACTTTCCGAGTATGTATTTAATTTTACCGCTTTTGAATGACAAGAAAGAGGGTAATTTTATCAAAAAGCAGTAAAACTTGGGTGGTTTATGAGAAAATTAAGTTCACGTGGACTTCGGTTATAAATAATTAAGTGGCTCCAACACAAAGAAGCTGTAATACATCAAACAAATACACGGTTATGGCGGGCCAACCATCTATTGTAAATCTTATTCAATTTGCCTACGTAATAAGATTTAAACAGTCCTCTAGGGTGAAGAAAAGAGTTTGTCCATTCACTTCAGGATAATCTACTAGCATATGTAAATATCAACTGAAGGTGGAATCATTATTTTCAACCAGAATATCATGTCTACGAGATAAGGGATTATATACTCCAAAACTATATATATTAATACTTGAACAGTTGTTAGTGGACCCCTAATTCAATTCTAATAAGCATTTTGGTTCTCTGAAGGACAGAGCATCCTCACTCCTGCCTCCCGTTAAATAGCAGTGAATTTGGTAAAGCAGATCTTGCAAAAGTATCGGTCTCTTTGCTCAAAGAAAAGAAAAATATTTTATCAGAAAAACTAAAAATTAAAGATGCAAATAAATAGGTACAACAGTGTAAATTTCAAACAGAGTGACTTATTGAGCTCAATGCGTAGATATCACCGAAGCACGAAGAAGACGAACAATAAACAAACTTAAAAGTTTATTGATACAATACAAAATTGAAACAGAGCAAAAACAGGACCTATGAAAACATCAGGTGGAATCAGGAGACAAGGAGGAGTAAGCATCATCTGTCAAACAGTCACACCCGCCATGTGCTCCTTGTCGTGAAAATGCAAACGGAAAATCTGTCAAACGTTTACAGAGACACTTAAAACGGGGCACAATAAAAAGAAAGCCAATTTAAAAAAATGAATTGTAAGCAAATTAATGTGAATCAATCTCACTATAACAGATAATGACATAATAGCTACTCAAACATTACTGAAATAATAAACTAAATAATGAAATAACATCAATGGAATGTACATATGTATGAAAATAACGTTAGGTTTCAAGCTAAAAAATCCATTCAAACAATACACATCCGGAGCAGTGCCAACACCGATCTCTGAAACTGTAGAGGTGCAAGGGATCAGGTGTCATAGGGGAGTGAACATCCCCTGAATTTCGTCACACCCGCCGTTTGCTCCTTGTCATGACCGGAGAATAGCGGAGTATCAGAGTGTAGATAATGGACTGACAATTACTGGGATGAAACATATGGAGATAGTATGAAAAACGTCTATCAGCATTTGACTTAATGATAGATTGTATTTACTGGCAAAGCCATTGTATCGACCACAGAACTTGCAAAAGGATGGCTTTAAGCTAGACTGTTTATATTCTTGTTTCATCAGCTTGTTT